CTTGATTTTATATCTTCGTTGTTTAGATTTGATGAATATTTTACATAAAATATTCAAATTAAACATAAATGTTTATCTATATTTATACATGATGTTTAACGTATACTTCAATTGACAATATTGTAATTAATTTGTAAATTATTGTTTTATTTTGAAATATTTTATTTAAGAAGAATGAAATGATAATGAATATATCATATTTATTTATTCTGATTGATTTTATAGATATTTTGAGAGAATGATTTATTAAATCAATACCTATGAAATATAACATGTCTTTTTGTCAATTTCTTTCTTAATTAATTTTATTTCTATTTTCATAAACTTCTCCTTCATTATTTTCATAATCTCATTCAACATATTCAATGTTATATATTTCATTATATAAACATATTATTTCAAATCATATTCTGAACATATTTTTATACATTTCTTTTCAACCATTATTATTCAAATGTTTTTGGAGTATTTTATTTCAATATGTATTTCAATATACAATAAAAATACAAAGAAATGAAATATCTCATATTTTGATAAATATCTCAGATTATTTTCTTCTTTATGAAGTATTTTAATTGTGAAATAATCAATTAACACAATGAATTGGCACCAAAATAAGAAGAGAATAATTTGAATTGTTATTTTGTCTCACACATTCACTAAACATCATTTTCATTGTTAATTCATCATATTGAAAGACAGTTTCAAAATTTATTTCTTTTACAATTATTTTTAATATGTTTCATTTCAACTTCTATGTTATTGATTGATGAATAAAAGAAATACAAAAATTTAAATAATGTATGAAAGAATAACACAAAATAAAGACATAATATATAAATATAAAATAAAAGTAAAAGATATGATAGAAAGAAGAAATAGAAATGTTCTAAGAATGAAGAAATTTAAAGAAAATAAAGAAATACTAAGAATATAGAGAAAAAAGAATAAAATCAGAGAAAAAACAAATAATTTGATTTATAGTTATAAACAAAATATTTAGAAGAAATATTATGAAAGGGTGATAAAGAAAAACTAAAGATAAAGAATAAAAATGATATTTACAATACAAATAAAATGAAAGATTTATCAATCAAAATGGATGAAGAGTTAATAACTCAAATTATCTTTTATTTGAACTTTTATTTCTTTTGTTCATTTAATAACCATAAAACTATCTTATTATTTATTTCTTTTGATATAAGTTAGAGTGTCTCTTTAATTTATTTTCCTTATATGACCAAATTAATTATTTTCTTATTTATTATAATAATTATTCAATATTTAATAAATTATATTCCTTTTCTAAGTTATATTTTAACAATTATTGATATGTATTATATCTCTCTTTATAATTGTATTTCATTTACTATTAAATATGTAACACTTTTTGATTTTAAATCAGTGCTATCATCTAATTTATTGTATTGTTATTTGAAAATTCAATAATATAAATATAATAAATTCTATTTAGTAATTTTGATACTATAAAAAGAATTTGATATTCATATATTGTCAATGTCTGTATTATCATTAATTATTTTCTATATAAATTCAATAACATAATATAAACACTAATTGTTCTATATTATAAATGATGAAAATAATATATATTATATATATTATTTCTTAGTATTTTTTTTTGACAATTGTTAAATAATTTCTATGCTTAAAATTTGTTATCACTATTAATAATCATTAATTACATAAATATGTTGTTGATAAGTGAATTATATCTACTAAGTAACATAGAGAAGAACTGAAATAATTAACAAATATTAAAGTATATCTAGCTAAATAATCAAATAAATAATGTCCAAACAGAGTAATGTTAAAAAGATGAAAAAAGGATAATAATTGTCTATGATGGTTGATACTTTTTAATAAACTCTTAAAATGCTTTATGTGTTATTATCAAAAAATAAAAATTACTTTATATTTTAGAAAATATAAAAGAATTTTAACAATAAATGAAAAGATAATGATATTAAATATATAACTAAGTAACAAAATAAATATACTGTTCTTAAAGCTTTTATTTGTAAGGTAATTTGTTATATAAATAATACAATATTATATTTAGGAATTATTCAAAACAATAAGTAGATCATTGTTTAAAAAAGAATCAAAAAACTGGAAGTTTCTAAGTTAGAAAGAAGTTATTTTAACTTAAACATAGATACATTTTATAAATTTATTTCTATACGAAAATGGGGGTTTAAAACTCTTTAAGAATAATAGTGTTAATAACTATTCAGCTAGTGTTTGGTGATAATTTATTTAACAAGAAGAGATGTATTGTTTAATTGTTTAAAACATTGTGTAAATAGTTAATTTCAGCAATAACCTTAAAGTTTTTAAATTTTTGTTAAGGCTTCAGTTTCTTTTCTTTCTTTTTATGAATGGAGTGAAAGAATGAAATACTTTTGGGACTTCTACTGAGAGTTTATTGTTTTCTATGATCTTTATGTTTGTTTCATGCAATTCATATAGTTTATATAATATCATTATAATAAAAGTATAATATTAATATAGTTTATGTGAGCTTAAAATGAAGAAAACTAGAAAATTATATTACCAGATTATTAACAATGTCTGAT